GTCCGTAGGACGTCCTTTTTTGCGGTGCCTCGGTCTATCAAAGGTCCGCAATAAGACACGTATAAGTCCAGACATCGGGATATGAGAAAAAATTTCGAACTTTGAAAATGTTGCGTCAGCAGCCAGCCCAAATACACGAAATCAATTTTGTCTATGAAATTGACTTCATCCCAAGATTCCCCGTAGAAATATTTTTTTTACCGGCAGCGTTACTTTACCCGACCAACCGGACAATACCCGTACTAAGACTCAATACCGAGTAATCCCTATTAAAATATTAAGTATTATCTATACATCCACTGATGTCAGAAATTCCAAATGAAGGATCCGCAAAGTTATGATACACCTATTAATACTTCAGGCATTTCAAAATGAACACCCGGGAAGTAATGGACGCGATTCCTAACAAATAGTGAATAAAAGAGCAAACGAAATTCTTCAGAAGTACATTATTTGCATGATATAAGTTTTTCAGATGAAACCAATCGGAACACGAGTTTAGACGGTCGAGCATGTACGGGACGCATACGTTGTTTTGAGCGAGCGGTCAAGTTCGGTAATTCACGCAAAGTGAGGTGTACGCGCGTTTCACGGACACTCGATCGTGCGAACAGTTTGTGTATTTAAAAAATATAATGCAAGCTAGGCATTTTAGAAAAATTATGGTTGCACTTTTATTCAGTTATTTTTTACTAAGAATCACGTATGTCCTTGCATCCTGGACGTCCATTCCATGATCCCCTGCATATGGACGTGTGAAATTGATTAAATTAAATTTCAGGGAAACAGTGTAATAAATATACGAAAAGGGATCCGTATCCCATAGAAGTACAGCAGGTTAGTGGTCAACGCTCCAACCAAGTTCGAAAGAGTCCCGGATTCAAATCCTAGCCCCGGAATTAAATAAAAAAATCATGGCTATCCAGGCCTACCGAAGATCTACTGCAGACTCAAATTTTGGAGTTACGGCAGGTCTGCTGCAGGCCTACTTCAGACTTAAAATCATAAAAGTTGCGGGCCCATTTTTCCGACAACAGGAGTCGCTGTAGACTCGCAGTAGACTTGTAAAATATCCTATCCTTTCTCCTGCGGACTCGTTACAGACTCAAATTTGAAGCCTTCGGACTCGCCGCCGATCTACTGCAGACGCGCCCGAAACTGGTCTCCATCGAGTCTACACTATAAAATTGGCCAAAAAATTTTGATTCAGGTTTTATTTTGAATATTTTGAAAACGTTTGTAATGTTTTCAGTACATAATATTAAAAAGAATATTATATAAAAATGAGACGAAATATTTTGTATATCTATAGAAAAAATATTCCGAAAACCCATTGAGGTTGTGCAATATTAAAAAAATAATATTTTGAAATAAACGTTTTACAAATATGCAAATATTTCAAATGTCTGCTGAATATTTACAAAATGTACGATATTCGTTAAATATATAGAAAATCTAAGACAAATATTTTATGCTGCAAGGGTCACCTGCTACTCGATTCTCCCCTTAGTCCTCATTCATCCTGTTGCGTACATAATTACGTCAGATGTTATACAGTAATAATCATATGATCGCACCTCGTATGGAATCAAGTCGCGAATAACTTCGAATACACGGGAAAGAATTTTGTTTCTTTAATATCGAGGCAGAGTCCTGCGCGAACGGGTCCATGGGGCACGCAGATGTTTCATGATCTGGGACAAGGCGGAGAGTTTCCTGCCAAAAACATCTTCATGCGAAAAAGGAGACACGGTATTTTTTGAACGGTCCCAAAAACTTTCCCATCACCCTAGCAATTTATTTTAGCTGCGATTCGTGAAACTCTCCCCTTTGCGTCCGGTCCAAAACAGCATTTTTTTCGAGGAAAGGGCGCCCCCGCTTGGAATCTTTTTAACATCGTTTTCTATCCCTTCACGGCGACTTCATTCTTCGTGTACTCCAATCGCAGCAACGAATTTGCTAAGCGTTCTGACGTCTATACCAATTGGCGACCTCTTCAAGACCAACCCCTCGGACTTAGCGCTTTTTAACGTTTTTGACCGAACAGTCAGTTGCTGTTACATTGTCCACAATTATCTCCAATAATTTATTCCCCTATTTTTTATTGCTATGGTTATGATGCCTTAATGTATACGTGTTAATCACCATATCCTGATTAAATACGACCTTGAAAGTGGTTTTATGGTACGAGTACTGAAATTCCTAAAGCACACGTTAATTAAAGCTAATCGATTACATCGTTACCAGTTTATCATTTACCCCTCTAGTTTAATATCCTGCATCTATGTGCGCCGTGAAACGAGACGGAACAAATGTAATAACGATCCCTAACACTAGAACTACCAAGACCAGTCAAAATGACTGATTTCAAATGACCCATCCTATAAAAAAAAAATTCGCCGGTAGTTCTAGTGTTAACATTTACCGCAAAATTTTAAACCCACAACAATACTAACACAGAACACCAAAGATCTTGCGATCCGCAGCCTAATGGTTAACTTTCACAAAATGTGTGCAATACTTTCGGTTAAGGCGAGTACAGTTATTTCAATTGCCTTTGCTTTGAACTTATAGGAAGTAAAGCGTTTGATGAAAATATAATTAAGGGTCAACTCACTCTGAAAGGGAAAGCTCGTTACAGTTCAACGCATGAATGCAACATGATATCCAACTGTAGATGTAAAATTGCGTTTATAAATTGTTTTTCCGGTCGTCGACGCATGCAAATGTTTTTGCTCGAGTGCGCAGGTGTTTTAATGCTCTCATACATGCATCAAGTACCATTTAAGGTCTTTAGATCCCATGATGTGTCAACGCGTAAAGGGGACTCTTAGTGTGATCATGTACTTCCTAAACAAATACAAGGATATACTAACGTATATGTCAGAAATACGTGAATATCGTTAAACAAAGTCGTATATTCTCTACGGGCTACTTTCCCACACTTTCCACGCGTCCCATGTGGTTGAAACGGAATACGCATTTGCAACGCCGATCGCATCGTATTTTATAACGACAGCTGATAGCCTCTTAGTTTCGCATAATATATCTTAGCAATTTCAAATTATGAGCACACAAATTGTACGTATAGTCAAATATCCTTATATCGGGTAGGCAATTATATTTACACTGTCGAATAGTCCTGAATTTTACATTGAACTTATTAGGAATGATTTTATAACTTGAACGCAGCTGTGTATGGATTTTATTAACTTTTGAAAGCTTCGCGTACTTACAAGAAAAAAAACGATAGGAAATTTTAGTAAGTTCTTACAACTTTCCGAAAAATGTAACAGTACAAGAGCTAGAGGACATTCGTATTTGTTCATAAAACAAACGAATTTTGAATGCATCTATGAATGACGTTTTGTATCTTTGGCAACGTGGTGACTATAAATGGTTTTTATTAATGATCAAAACATTAAACCCTCATTTATTTAAACATCATAAAAGGAATAAAACGGCTTGGATAAATGGTATTTTCTGGTAATATGAACTCATTAATTCTTTTTATGCTCAGAAATGATTTCTTATTTTGATCACAGGAATTCGTGTTCACGCAAATTCACGTATGTATCATTACAGTGTTAATTGCTTATATTTTTGTCCTAATCTATTGTCCATACTCGCCTAACCAAACTGCCACTCTGATTTCAGTGATAAGAATTTATCCGTAATTTCAATTTGTCAGACATTGAGCAAAATTCTCTTCGGATAAATGAAATTCCATTGTAAACTTCCTGATTGAATTCCATCCGCTTTAACCGCTTTATTCTGTTTTATTTCTTGAATATTCTTTCGTAATTTTTGCGGATGTAATTTTTCTAGGCAATCGGAGAATCGCGAATAAACATAGGAACACCGTGAGAATCGAATTAAGTCGGCGCCTAATTCGTATTCGTCTTATTCCCATGTAACGATTTCACCCTTAACCGTATTTCCTCGATACTCGATCGCGAAACCGCACATGCACTCGCAAAATCGATCGATCGATTCCACTTGCCAATACCCTCGATCTCGAATCGTGATTCGATCCAAAGTCGGTCGATTCAAAACCACGCAACGTGTTAAAATGCTCGACCTTAGCGAGGCTGTTCCGCGAAGGTTCGCACCTCTTGTATCTGCGTATCTAACAACCAACAATAAGTAGGTTGATATGCGAGTATAGATACCTACGTCTACACTCGCGATAACTTTCAATTCTCGTATCTTCGAAAGTTATTTTACAGATATTGGTATGTATACCCGGTACCAAGTAATGTACAAACAAGTATAGATCCCGACACATGAAGCTACTTGCTGTATTCAGATTGATGTATTCATGTTAACTCATTTTATAAATACATCGTCTGAGTTTGTGTATTAACGTATGTCACTACTCTGTAGAGTAGTTGGAATAACAAAAAACTAAGATTTATGGTTTTTATGTGAACAAATATTTTTCCATTTTTTCCAGTAATAAAGTACAGAACAATAGTATGAAGTATTACTCTACTTATTTACAACTTAAAACAACTAAATTGAACAGTTATAAATAAATATGAGAATATTGTGAAAAGTAATCTTAATGAATTGATATAAATTTGTCGAACATTGAAATGGTTCGTTAATAAGAAAATTAAAACGGTTCTTTTTATCAGAGCGTTTCTTACTGGTTTTATGTTCTACTGACCTATGGTTGACGGGCTTTAGACAAACGTCTATTTCTTTACATATATTTTTTATATCTGATAAATAAGAAGGATACATACATTCTGCATGAGGACAATGACCGATGAATAATGTTGCATGCATAACCAAGTATGAGTGACCTTTCAATTTCATTTAAATCTTCAACCTTCTTTTTGTTAATTTAAAGGTATTACGTATTTCATTATAGCACTGAAGTTATGGAAAAATGTTCGAATACATAAAAAGTCATCGTATTCGTCCATTTGGAAGTTATTCAACTATAAATGAAAATAAGGAAATCATAGGATAAAAAGAAATTCAGAGGATACCTCTTCAGCATCATGAGTCTGCAGGAGATGAGTAGACGCCATGAGTCCTCGAATGGAACCCAGCATCCTCTTCCTAATAGGTCCAGTTTTTCCAGTCAATTCTCTGCTTTCTCGATCCACTGCGGTAACTCGTTCGTTATCCTCGTCTCTTTTGCGATCCACTGATAACTCATCCATGCTGAAGGATATCGGAGTTAGGTTCATCTTGGTTTCAGACGAAACGTTCTCCGAGCTAACAGTTTTTTTTCTGAGCAGCTTCGAAGACGGATTCTTCACTTCATCCCGATTCGAAAATCTCTCATCTGCACTTTCCAAAGGATGCACCTCGACGAGATCGGGGGATTTTCCAGAGATCCTTTCGAAGGAACAGTCTTCCGGTCTCTCAGGGTCTGAGGCATTACCCTCTTCGGACACCGAAGACAGCCCAAACTCTTCGACCCTCGTGATGGAACCCACCACGAGTCTCCTGGTCTTGGTCAAATCGTAGGAGCAGCTTTGAGCCCTCTTCATGATCTTCTGACTGAACTCAACATCTCGAAGAGCACCCACAGCCTGCATTCTTGCGTGCTTGTTCACCACTTCACCCAGTCTCAGTTTTTCTTCCCTTAGCCAGCTCCGCATTTTACCCCAAGCCTTTCCTAGTTTCTTCTTTTGCCTCTTCAGCTTTTTTTCCCTGTGTTTTCCGCTGAACGATCGGTGCTCCAAGCATTCGGAATCAGAAATCGAACCTGAAATCGAGGTTACATCATGAAGAGACCTAGACTTCAGCTGAGAGCCTCTATGGACGTCATCGTTCTTTTTCCCAGCACTTGTCACATCTTCTGATGAAATGTCATCGGCACTGACTCTACTCTCGTGACTTACATGTAGCTTTGGTACATCGTACAATTCGTCATCTGCATTCTCCACGATGTCCTCATGGTGCGTTCCAGCTTCTCCACAGTTACCTTCCCTGGTGAGATTCCTCTCTTTTTTGGAACCCTCAGCGTGACTAGGTGACGACAATCCATCGCTAGAAACCCTCTCCCTGCTTTTAGGGAAGTCATATAAATCATTTTGCAGATCTTTTTTATCTTTGACCTCGTCCTTGACGTCCTCATTTCCTTGGACGATCCGTGCATTTTTGGCACTTTCTTCGGCTTTCAGGAAGCTGAAGCTTAGTACGGGCATACCCTCGCTATCGGTCCTCACCGAAGAAGTTGCTGTTAATTCCACACTGGAGCTGTGTCTTCTTCTACCAGCGTTTTCTTTCATTTCTTTGACGTCTTCAGTGGTGTTTTTCGAGATCTTTTCATCGTCCGATTGATCATTCCTCTTCAAGGGGTGAGTGCAAACCTTGGTGAGACTGTTTAGTGCCGCCTCTACGTTGTTCTGGTATAAGACCTCGTTTGGAAACGTAGTCCCATCGGAACAATTGCCTGTCCCCTCGGCTTTGATGTTTTCGGAGGTCTCTTCGGATTTCTTTTGAGAGGCCATCGCCTGTTCCTGAAATTCCCTTTCGTGCACTATCATTGGTAATGGTACGTCGTACCAAATAGTACTTGAGCTTGTGCTGGGAAACAGAGCAGAGGATCTGGGTGATCTCAAGCTCGTCCACACTTGCTTTACTTCATTCATATTATATATATCATGAAGATCGTTGTATATTCACTGGTACTGACATGAATATATTTCACTAATGAGCTCACTGGATTCCACCAATCTCAATGAATTAAATGTCCGAAGCAACTTTCTTCTCGACCCTGTAAATTTCGAAACAAGGCTTAATCTATTTTTGCACAAGTTGGAATCTCACCTATCATGATGTATATTACGACATACAAGCATAGATATATTCACTGATATTTTAATCTCAATTCCACGTGTAGCCAATTGAATGCAAGTGTACTATGTATACTATACAGGTTTACAATTCTACTTTTCTTTTTGCCCTTGTCAAGCTATGAAACGACGACTGTTAGTTCGTCTCTGCTCCAGCATGGTATTTGAACTATCACGGAGTATATTCATTGATAAAGGCACAGATATACTTGCGGATAAGATAATTTTATTCTGGTAATTCAGCAAATTATATATCCAAGTCAATTGTATTATGCGAAGATATTACTTTTATGTAGAATTCCAAGTTTCTCTTGACCTTGTTTTTCGACTTTCAATCCGTTTCTGGACGAGTTTGAATTTCAACAATCACACTTTTGTATTCTCTTTTGATCGAATGACTGCTAGCAGAATTCTACGATGACAAAGACTCGCAAGGTGCGGCAAAACTTAAACAATCGTCGAAAGTAGTTCCAGTTTGTTCAGTGACGAACATCTTTCATCTATACATTTATCGGCTTGTGTCATCTCTTGTCGATGTGATTGTCTTCTTCTTCGTATTGAGTACTCCTTTACACCAGCAACTAGAGATAATGAGTGACTTCATATTTCACCACAAGGACGCAGGTAAAATTGCTCTGGACTCCGTGTTTTTTTTTTAAATGTCTATAATCACTTCCGGTACTCGAGCTTCCATTAACTGTTCTTTTCGAACACCGTTCCTTTCTGCAATACGTGATATTTTATTTTAACATTGTACTGGGAAAAATGCCTTGTGCACCTTACCGTTTATAGGAAGGAAAGCGAAATAATGAAGGTAACATTTAAAAAAATAACGTAAAGGACATCGAAGGAGGTATTGATGTTTAGAATTAAATTCCACGTCTTCTTTGGATTTACTACACGATTCTATATTTTCAATTTTTAGTTATTACCACGTCGATAGAAAATGAAATATAAAGTTATATAATGTATAGAATACTCTCAACTTGGAAACATAACACTCTGTTATAAGAATGGAATGTTACACTTAAAGAAAGTTATTATCTCGCTATAGACAAGATACTTATAATCGATTATTTCGAACTTTACAAGAGGTTGTTTATGAAAGAGTAGTGATTTGCAACAAGAATTTCGCGGTTTAATAGGTACATTTACTGTGCACCACCTTTCTTCATTTTCCCATTAAGTAGACAGGACATAGATTTTTAATTTATTGATATCAAAATCGCAGCTTTGGATTCAGGTTCACAATATGTACACTTCATCTGGAATCTTAATACATCAAAGAATCACATTCAATACAAAATCTTCTGAACGAAAGAATTGCATAAATTTATAAACATTGTTCATTTAGATTCCCGTTTAATAACGGCTCTGAATTTAAAGTTCTACAAAAGTCGCGGAATTTATATGCGACGGATTAAAAAAAAAATTAATTGCTCAGATAAGAACAAAATTAATGAAAGCAATGACGATTGTCAACATTAGGCTGTACTTATAGTCTCTTATAATTCGTCTTACGTCACGTTACATTTGTCTTGGAATTATCTTGGTCTTTGACGTCTACTAAGATTACCATTCATAATTATTACCTCTTAATGACTGAATCACCATATTTCTTCTTCAACCTTTCCTAGCATTTTCCATTTATTTTATTTTATTTTACACCACTTATTAGGCCTCCTTTTTATTTATACCCTACCCATCCATCTAAAAACAGTAACAAATATCTGTCAATATTAAGTAGCACTCATAGTTTCTTATAATTAATCCCTAACGCTCGTCAGGAGTCACCCCGATCTTTGGCATTGGCTTAAATTAACTGTCACGATCACCAACGCAATTATTCAATGCCATAATATCCCTTCCCTTTCGTATTATTCATATATTTTTTTTCATTTACTTCACTTAATTTTATATTAATTTATATTCAATAATCTAATTTATTTTGATCAACATTTCCTACATTTATGCAGAAATGGTAATAGACATCTGCCTCCCCGTCTTCTTAGGCACAGTTAACATAATCGGCATCCCTCTTCTCAGGCCACATGAAGTATGTGGGACGAAGAATTCGAACGGTTCACGAGACAACGGCTCATAGCGGTCCAAATCGAATTTAAACGAGCGCGGACCGTCACGTAAGGTTTAAAGGCGTGCCGATCGTGGAGACACGTTTGCGATCGTCTACGCATACGCATCGGGCGCGATCGCGATTACCAATCGAAGATGAGAAACTGAGTTTCACCAGTTAACTGCGTTCGATGTGTACACACGTCGGTAACCCGTAACGTTATAGTAAATTTCGCAGTTAACAGGTTAAGGAACGAAAATCGAGGATCGAGGATCACTCGCTATGGACGCAACGCGACACTGTGCGGCTGGTCGCGTAACTCGCGCGCGAAACTGGTACCGAACTTGCCAACACCGAGCAGGCCTTATACCGGCGTTACGTAAACAATTTGCTCGCGTACGTACCGTGCCGGTACGTCAAACCTCGCACCAATATAACGAATTGTTCACGGCCGAGCCGCGCCGCTTCATTTCAGGCCGACTGCAGCGCTTGCTGACTTTTAAGGCCGACGCACATCACTTGCCAATTGACGCGTTTTCATTTACCGCCGACGAGCGGCTGTATTTTGACCGATGGTACAATTTTCTCGCAATTATGTATATTTCGTTCCGATTTCAATATTCCTTTTTTGGGTTAAAAGTGAGCTTTGTCACCGCTGAATTTGTTTATTGTATTATTTTATCATAGATTATATTGTAAACTGTATTGAATTAAAAGATCGGCATGTGGCCGTCACGCGCGTTGCAAATGAAACTTTTAAGTCGAAGAGACTTATTGGACATTAATAATCATTCATAATTATTCCTTCAGGAAGTGCCCTTACGCGTTTGATATTGGTTGTTTTAGGCATGATTATATGTATTTTTTACTTTCATTATTTTTATTTCACGTTAAGTGTTAATAATTAACGCAGAAAATAACGCACGAACGCCAACAAAAATGTTTATGAAAATTATCTCAATACTAACACATAAAAATGAATTTAAATGGCAATCAATTGTAAAAATAAACTTTACGTAAATTGTATTAATACTAATAAACAATTATGAATGTAAACAGTGATTAACTGTTAAAAAAGCGTTTCACTTTCCGAAAAGGATCCCTTTCACCACGTTCGAACTTATACATACTACCGTGCCATATTTTCACTTCAAAAATGTCTTCGAATTCTATCGTTTAGTAGTAGTTGATTAAGCTAATTCAGCGTGATTTATTTACGTGAACAATATATATTGCAGGAACTGTTGACTTTTAAAGTCAATGCGAATGGCCCGAGGTCTTGTTTTTTCGATACGCGCATCAATTACACCTATTGTTTGCGTTTGCCTGCCGTTTATCACAGAGACCCAATCGACAGCCCGAAATTTATCAGGTTCGTGATTCACCGCCTAAATTCCGTGTATTTCTCTGTCACTGAATGAAGTCTGACTCGGGCTCACCGGTCTTATCTTTTAAAGTAAAGATCCACAGTGCCACTGGTTCGATTTCACAACACCACGTACAGTTCTCAAACGCCGAGCAAGAAAGCACATATTTATCCAAACAGTTACCAAGGAGGTGCGTTTTCAAATGCTTCTTTGCGCTTCTCTTTAACCCTATTAATTGCATTATTTTTACTCACAAAGAACACTACTTCGTTACTTTTAATTTTTCAGGGACTGGTGATTTTTAAGGTCGACGCGTTTGATACATTGAGCGACAGCCTTATCGCTTCGGCGCTCCTGATAATCACTCTCGTTATTATCCTGCCATCATTGTATAAAAGTAGGCGTAAATTTCTCTGAAATTTCAAGCAATTTTTTTAATACCCTGGATCCCGTTCCTATTTCATTAACGTAAAAGTCTTGAATTATTTAGGATATTTTAGAAAATTTGAACACCATCAAGAGTTTGACCACACTGAATTAGAAATATCTGTTACGCGAGGTAATTGATCAACTATGGATAATTGTTAATTACTTTGAAATGAATTTGACACTGTCCATGATTTTGCTTTGGTCACAAGTAACGACAAAAGGTGCCTGATCACTTCACGAGTATCAGCCGTTTTGCAACTGATCGGGCCGATAATTCCTGTAAGATTGAGCACATTGAGTTATTGCTGCAAATCACAAGCAGAACAATTTGTAGGTGCTCCGATTACTCGGTACATACATCAGATGGGCACTAATTTAACGAATTGTTCGCAGTCCGCTTTGTTTGGCTTCAATTGCAGGTGCTGGCAACTTTTAGATCGGTGTTCGCGGTCGAAAGTTAATCGGCCTTAATAGGCACGTTAAAGGTATCGATTTTAATAATGCTGTTGAATCATCTGATTGGAGTGATGTAGCCTGAAGTACATATAGCCTTAAGCACTTAAGCAGCTTGGTCATGGACAGTGCGGGGCACGTTTCTCGAAAGTGTCCTGCACGTGGTTAAAAATAGTTAATGGAAGGATTTGGGATTTATGACTCCGACCAGTGAGGTTTCCAAGTGGTCACTTCAGGATCTAGCACGGCGACGCATTTCCAATGGGTATCGTATGGTTAGCAGACAACGCGGACTTTCTCAAGGATTCCAGGAAGTCTGAAGTCTGTGCCGTCTTGGAGAAGTGAACCTTTTAGATATATTAACCAAGAGTCAACCAATCAGGGCTCAGCATTCCAAGTGCATCCCTTCCTATGTCTTGACAAAGGAAAGGAAAGAATGTGCAGCGAGAATGCAACTTTCCATTTTTTAAGATTTAGACTCAACTAGGACTTCAAACAACTCGGATGGTTGTCTCCGCACTGGGACTTAGCGCGTAACCTGGACACGCGATTGTACCGCAAATTCACATGGACAAATTGTACTCAGTCTATGATTTTATTAGTATAATATATTGTTATTGTCCTTTTATTTAAACTTGTGCGTGGTCCAAATTCTTGAACTTTGAATTTATCTGACAGGAACTCCATCTCAACGCTCATTGCAAAGAGCACAAACAAATGCATCCAATCGAGAAAGGGGACTGAACGGCCTCAATAGGTTCTATTAATTCAATTAATTCCGTCAATTATCGTTCTCGGTGTTTTTACAGCGTACGAACCTTGGAATGCGCAACCAATGGCCGTACACGGCCAAGCCGAAATAATTCGATTTCTTTTGAAGGGAAAATAATTTATATTCATTTCTGTTAGTAAGAACCCAATTTGTTAACGTTTCAGCAAATACTAGTAATCGGGTGTTTCAGCAAAGCAAATTAAATGACGGCACTTGAAAAACGACCACGCACAATGCATTGTATACGCAAACACTTCGCACGCATTTCGCCAGAATTATGTAAAACAAACGCATTATACCATTTAGCACATGCGTAAAACTCGTACGTCTGTCGATCAGTCATAGCCAAATACCGCATCCCTCCCGTATATTCTTATGATCTTCGATTAGAAGTACATACAAATTACTAAATGAAAATATGTAATTGTAAATAAAACATTCTTGCACGCAATACTCGATTTAATTCGTCACTTCACTACTATAAATCTTTGTTAATAATTTCTTCTCATTTCTATGGAAACATGTGTCATTACCAGAACTTCTTTATTAAACATTATATTTATCACACCACGGAATAATTTTATTGGCAAAAAAAATAAGGAATAATAATCGAAAGACTCAAATCTTCGTAAATACCATTTCATGAGAGCCGAATAAAATAATGTTCGTTCTGTTGTACAGCTTAGAGGATACTGTCTTGCACGATAGAATTCGAGATCAAGGAACGATTTGTGGCTACGACTTGTCGCTTGACTTCGCCTGGATGACAGGGGCTAGTGACTTTTAAGGTCGACGTCCACCAGAGGGAATTAAATCCTCCTACTTTACTGCCTGCATCGACTGTATCAGCCTAAAATTTCCACTTTTAGCCTACAAAATTCTCTCGAAATATGTTGGTAAATTTTCTGAAATTCGCTGGCGTACTGACTTCATTTCTTTTTTATTTTTTGTTCTCTTAATTTCAGAGTGTCAAGGATTTAAGTCCAACTACTGTTCCCTTCTATTTCGAGTATTGTAGAAAGTGACTTTAAAGTCAGCAGCAATGTTGTTTGTATAGTTTTTGCTTACATTTGGCGAAGTAAAAATCAGTTACCGCACTTGTTCCATCATCTCACTCTTTATTAATGTCAAAGGCAAAGCCCTTCGTGATCTTCGTGATTCTTTAAAATGAAAAACGAAGTTTTTTATTCCAGCGTCATAGACACTAATGAACGGTTGAATCGTGCTTAGAAATTGTTGTTCCTGACGGGAGCAAAGTCACGTAGTTGCTCGATGCACCATCCTGTGACGACGTTTGAGAAAAAATGTTACAAAAACTAGTGGCATTAGTTAACAACTCGTAAAAATGGCCGATCGTTAAACAGCGAAATTTCTTTAAGCTTCTACGATCAAGACGACAGTCCGGTGATCATTGAAAATCACGTAATTTTTATCACGATCCTCTAGTAATGTATTTCGAAATGAAAATCCTCACAACCAGTCCTTATTACCGATTTCTGACGCACCAACCGAGCAACGTTTCCAGAAGTAAAGCCGGTTATGGTAAATAGCACCTTGCACTAAGATATCTAAACGAAGATAGCAACGAGATGCATTGAACGAGAACCAATTTGCGTTAAAAGTTATTAAAAAAGTGATCCACGATTATTGTTCTAAATTTCCCTCAGATCCAGATGGTACGCCTTGATGGTTGAACAGATTAAAAGGAAATTCCCCATATGGCTGGAGTTTACATGTCAATAGTAAAAGGGATGACGTTTATTGGCCTGATGAGGTTTCAAGAATTCCAGGTTAATCCTCTGATTTACGTATCGGGAAATCAATCTCTTCGGCACCATCGAGCCTTCAGCTAGCCCCATTTCCTGACTAGAAATGTTCTTTCACCGTAAGTGTTTAAAGATCTCGTAACACCCTATATAGATTTCAATATCGATCGGGTAATGCTAGACGTAGAAACCAGACTATACTGAAAACTTAATCAGAAGGCGAAATAACTATTGTATGACAAGTTCCTTACAAAATGTAACGCGAAACCTCTCGTTACTTGTTTCGCTGTAAATAATTAGGTGAGGAATTGACTCTAAAAATAATTGAGGAATCCATTTTCCGACTTGGCGTTTCAATTCTAATTAGGAGGCGTAAGTTTTGTCTAATTTTAAATTGATCATTTCGGGGTATATTAAATATTGAGTTATTATTTTTAAATCTTCGACATTGTTCTTGGCAGCCAACATCGTTAAACAGAATTTCCAACAATTTTTTTTAAATTGAACTTAGCTGTTTATCAATTTATAATTTGAAAGGTTAGGTACGATTTAACATTTCGGAAAATAATTAATGGTCGCATGTCTATGTATTTATTGTTATTCATCGTTTCGTCAATTTTAAAAACAATCCTCAATAATTTTGCGGTTAATGTCGTTAACGTTTATTAAGTTCGCGATACACAATATTTGTACGCCGTTAATCAATTTGCCACACCAATATCTACCTTAACTTCAGCTTACAGGGTTTAGGAGTTCACTTCTCAATCCGGAAGCTGATTTATGACACCAATCCCCAATCTCGTTACACATTACGTAGATCCTAGCACCGATCCGAAGAGACACACGATGCCGGAAGGAGAAACAACTCCATCCCCAAGAATTATCAACAAATTGCTAACACAGTGTCGGAACCGGTCACACTATTTAAACAGCCTCACAGATGAACTCAGAATATGAAAAATTCTTAAGATAATTTGTAATTTTTAGAAATTTTAATGAGTGGTATTAATATATTTATTATAATATTCTCATTTTTACAGTTATTTATCTTTTAATTACAATGAATGACTAATGATGTATAAAAACTGGCCACGCCATCTGATTAGCCCTGAAATCTAATTAAAAGTTATGAAAGCTCTTAAGAATTTAAGGCTTGTAAAAAGTATCGATGAACACAGTTCAATA